TAACAGGAATACATTTAATAAATGTATTATTATTTAATAAACTATGTATTTAAAAAACCACCAGTTTCTGGACGGGTTTCCTTGTAAGTCGATGTATTGCCTGAGCCTGTTTATATTGAGAGCCATTAGCAATTTTTAGTTTTTGTTTTTTAAATAAAAACATCATGTAGGAACATTGCTTAGATTTTTATCGGTCTCTAAAGAGCAAATTTGAAGACTTGAAGAAATCAGTGGGCTTTGTAAGGAGTAGGGAGTGTGTTGTTTTTCTGGATCTAGTTTGGTTCTTTATGGGTTTTGGATTGATTGTGTTGAAGACTTTCAGGCTGTGACTCACGAGAAAATTAGATTTGATCTAAACTCCATGGAGTCGAAACACGTACTGTTGTGCTTAGGGACTCAGCCTCTTGCCACGATGCCAACATCCTTGTTCCCATCAAAAAAACCCCATGTATATAAACAGTATTCAAGGCAACCACTTCGAGGTCCTATGTATGTGCAGGGGGGCTGCTCCAACAGGCTGTCTTTACAGCACATCGGAGCAGGCTCGATTAATCGAGTCTGCCAGAGCATGGTAATTACCGCACTCCAGCAGACCCCAGTGTCACTTGTATCAGCGTCCCCATGCTGAAAAATGGCAGTGGGGCACTGTAAACTAAAACTCGTTCAACGAGCTTTAGTTCAAAGCGCCCTGCTGCCATTTTGCAGCATGGGGACGCTGATACAAGTGACACTCCAGGCACTTTTAATTAGCACGGCACCTCCGCTTCCCCACCCCCTCCCTGGATCACATCTATAAATGCCCTTAGGCACCAGGGCAAGGGTTGATGATATTGCCTCCTTGGAAGATCAATCTCTTGCTAAGATCACAATATCTTGTTGGATGCTAACCCAGCTGGCTTAAATATTGATGCAGAATGTTTAGGGGTATGCTTGTCAGAGAGTGTCAGGGCAGTACATACTTAACAATAAATCCTGGTGCTTAAAATACAAGCTACATTTACTTGGATTGGTGTGCAGAAGGAAGGGTGGCTCCTTGAAAACTAACTCATTCAGAGAGGCATGAACTTTCATATGCAACATCTACCGCCTGGATGAGTTAGTCTCAAGGTGTCACCCTGCCCTGCATTCTGCTTGATTTCAGACTAGCACACCTAACTACCTCTCTCTACTCGTGGACTAGTATGCAATTTACCTTCTTCATTGTATACTAAGATCGGCCTAATACAGCATAGGTACAGTTTGGAAGTATCTGTTCTGCATCAAATCTTTATGCCTCTGTTGAGCAAGTTGTTGTTTCCCCCTTTTTCCCTCCTAAGCGATCTCCCATGTACAATGACATCCACAAACTAGGTTATTTATTGGCTTAGTCAAGGCAATCGAGGTAACACTGGCTGCATCTACACGAGCAGTGGACCGTGCAGTACCTGGCTTTCCTGTGCAGTACCATCACTGCACGTTTTTTTTCAGACGCTACTGAGCAGTAACAATGAGCAGTGCGCAGTAGCCCGTTACTACTGCACAGGAGCGGCGCATCACGCTTAGTGCCCGCCAGTGCTATTGTGCAGTAGCGTCTCGTGTAGACGCGCCCACTATGTATGTAATCACTTTAGCTTGCTGCCGTAAAATTCATCAAACGCCCTTTTCTACACATCCATTTGACTGTCGTGTTTGAAAATGCCATAAAACATTCATTTAAATAGGTAAAAAAAGATAAAATTCTCATGCCAAAAAGTGGGCTCCTTCAGCGGTCAATAAATTGGAATAAAAATGAATGAGAACAAGTATACAAACACTGTGTTTGCTAATAGTAATAATCTAGTGCTTTGCAGCATCCAAGTGTTTTACAAACACTAATTAATACCCAGGAGACCCTTGTGAGGCAGGGAGCTATTACTGTCCTCCCCAAGTCACAGATGAGGAAACTAAAACATGACGACTTGGGGCCTGCCCATCTCCTCCGAGGACCTCAGGTTCAGAAATGGAATCTGGGTTCCCGGTCCATCTGGGACCACCTGTAAGCCAGGCCTTGTCACAACTAAAGCACTTAGTGTGTTAACCTACCAATCCAATGAGATCAGAATCTGTTCTCTTGCTTTATCAGCTGCTTTATATTTCATTAACTGCATTACACTGTACAGCTGCTTTGAAGTGTTACCATGGTATTTAACAAATATGCATGCATTTTTCTTAAAACTTTTTTTTTTTTCCTTTCAGGCATTTAATCTGCTTCATTCTTCTTGTTGGTTGATTAGCAGTTTCTGACCGGAGTGAATGTCAGAAAATTCTCAGTTTCCAAATGCCTTTGCACCAACTAATAATACTCAGACACTAAATAAGAGACTGATTAGAGGAGGCCATACAGAATAGCTGGATTCAGTAAACTCAGTCCCTGTACAAGACCCTAGTCCAAGTTCAAAGTAGACTCTTGTTCCAACGTAACAGTGAGCTAACCGGGGGTCTTCTATCCTTTTTTTGTCTTGGGTGAGTCTCTAATGGCTTTCTTTTCCCTATAGAGGGTATGATCCCACTACTAATACTACCCACTAACGACCTTACTCCTTTAGTTCAAATGACAGGGACCTGTGGGTTGTTTTTTTTTTTTTTTTAGTCTTGTAGGTCTCAGATTATGGCAAGATCCTTGGGTAGGGTAAATGGATGTAGCTCTGTTGGGTTTAATGGAGCGACATTGATTTACACAAGCTAAATATTTGCCCACCAGACAATATGTGGTGGGAGTTGTTTGATTTGCAGGAGCTGGTCCAGTCTGCCTCTTTGTAACCTGACGGTGGAGCCGCACAGCGTGATTCTGTGTCTAGAAAAGGGGCTTGTGGTACGTGCATCCTTTGTCTGGACTCAAAAGTAAGATTCTGCGAGGCTGGAGGCTGGCGCTGGCTGTGCGGCGTAGACCATATGAGGGCTGCCTTTAGGCTGAGGCTGTGCAAAGCTTGTCTTGGCTGGAAGACCCTTTTTGCATGTCTTGGAAGTTTCACTTTGAGGTCATTGCATTTTTGGCAAAGAATTTGCACTGGGTAAAATTTGCAAAGCAATGGTTTGAGCTTTGGCATGGGGACTTGAAATGTCATAATAAAAGGTTAGAGCTTAGTCCTGCTCCCATTGAAGTTTGTGGCCGTAAGCTATATCAAAGCATTCATATTCCCCTTCTGCATATGGCTTGATTTAAAGACTCAATTAAGAGGAAACATTAAAGAGATAGGTAGGAGGAGGGGGTGAGGAGATATGGGATCTGTGTGAGCAGCCAATTATTCACTTTAATAATTCAATGGTTTTTACGCTAATAGGCTGGAAAGTAAATACCACTTCACATAAATGTAGTATTTCATTATTTATACACTGTTGAAATTGGGGTTTAATTAAGACTAAAGCCTAAGACTTTTAAACCATTAATGAAACATGTTGCTCTGTATAGCCAGTAAAGTGTGAAGAACAGTTTGAATGCTGAGGTCATTATAGACATTATTTTAGTTTCCATAAAAAGATAACCTGGACTTTATTAATTGTGATTTTTTTCTCTTCGTTGTTTCTTTAGGCCTTTAGTTTTGTTTATAGTTTTAGCTTCACTGATTAATTGTGTGCATGTCAGTTTGTGTGTCGTGAGCTGTGAACAGGCACAGATTGATGCCCTCAGTTCAGTGATCTATCAAGTACCGCTGTGATCTACGATTATCCTTTGGAACATCCCGGTGATAATTGTGATGTTTGTGATTTACTTGCTGTGCCTCTATGCATCCATCTACCAGCACGTTAATGCAGTTCAGGTTGCAATGCAAATAAAATTTACCCCGATAAAAATGCTCCTAAAGGCGGGGAGGGGGGGTTATTCTTTTGCTTTTACTTTTAATAAACTGCCTTTGTTTATTTGCATTTTTCACATTGATCTTCCCCCCATCCCCAGTTATTAACCTGAGACACGTTAATGATGCCTGATTACCACAAAGTGGAGAGCAAGCCATTTATAAAGTTCCTTTTAGAATTAGGGGCCCTTGAAATCATTAAAAATAAGGTTCTTTTAAAAAAGGGGCCCCTGACATCATTAGTCTCATTTAAAAATGACACCATGGGCCCAGTTCTTTCCTTATTGAAGTGAGGGTATGAGATACAGGGAGTTCAGGGAAAAGCCCGCTATGGTTGGTGTGAATGGGATCTGAATTAGTCTTCTTACACCTACATTCCCTTTATAAATCATTTAAAATTTTTAATTTTGTAATAGTATATTTTATATTTACATTATTGTATACAAACTTCTAAATAAACAGGTGGGTTTCTATGAAAGACCTACCCCTCACCTTTTCTCTGCTTACATTATCCACAATATTTCTAGAGTGCGCAAATAGTCCTTTTGAAAAAAATAATGAAATGAAGAATACAGTGCAGCAGGATCCTCAGACAGTTGGAGGCATGCATTTTTTAACGTTGAGGGGAACTGCTCTGTGGATGCAGTGGATTCTCAGTCACTTGAAATCTTTCATCGCAGACTGGATATCTTTCTGTAGCACAACTGGACGTTATGGATGTAGCTGCAGAAATTCCTGGGTGTGGTTCCATGGCTTGTGTTATACAGAAGGTCAGACCAAATGGCAGTAACAGCCCCTTCTGGCCTCTCTGGATCAAGAGAAAAAACATCCGTGATTCTTTGCAAGCCAAGCACTGACTTGCCAATGATATCAAATCCAGTTGCGCTGTGTGTATGGAAGTACACATTTCTGCAAACAGGAAGAATTGACAAAACTGTTATAAAATTACAAAAAACCAACATATTTCTTCACATTTTAATTATAACGACACTGTTGATTTGAACCAGGGACAAAGGCTCTGTATTCTATTAATGAGCTCTGCTAGCATCTGCTCCAACAAACCTTCCTTTTCCTTTTCCTTTTCCCTTTCCCTTTCCCTTTCCCGTTAAGCTCTTCTAATGATGTTTCTCAAAATTATCAAATCTCCCACCTTTACATCAAATAAGCATTTGTGTGTGACGCACATACATGCTATTTTTCAGGAGACCTGGGGAACAGAAACACTTAAAAGATCTTCCATCTCTGCAATGGATGCATCTGGCAGTTGTGGCATGTGGCGACCGGCTGGAAGAGACCGTTACCATGCTGAAATCAGCAGTTCTCTTTAGCAACAGGAAGCTCCGGTTTCACGTCTTTGCTGAGGATTCCCTTAAGCCGGAATTTGAGAAGAAGGTAAGCTCCCTTTCTTTGTTATTTAAAAAGGTTTGCAGTTTTTTGTGACCTGTCAAATCTCTGATCAAAAAAAACAAACCCCTCGTGACACCCAATTAGCAGCTAAGCTCTTTGTTTCCCTTTTATTGCATGCAGGGTCTGTCTCTAGAAACTTTTGGAAAAAAAAACGGTGTTTAACTTTTCAACAGTACTGCAGAAACCTGCCCTGTCTATTCGAATTCTAATCCTTTCCCCATGTCTTTCAGTTCCAAGAATGGCCTTCCACATACACCAAGAAGTTTGAATACAACATCTATCCAATCACTTTTTCAGTAGGAAATGCTCAGGAATGGAAAAAATTATTCAAACCATGTGCTGCCCAGCGCCTCTTTCTCCCGGTAAGGCACCTGACTTTCTGAGTAAACAGGTTCTGAGTAAGCAGTGTCTGTTCCAATGTGAGGAGCTTTGCCAATATGAAATTGAAACCATTTTTCAAGCTGAAACCTCAGTTCCAAGGCATCTTTATCTGTACTTTTTCTGCTTAAGAAAACAATCTGATCATTCCTCCCCCTGGCACAAAATGCATGTTTCTTGCTTGATGCCAATTCCATTGGCTCAGCCTCTTCGGAGTCAGGGTTAGTGTTGTTTCTTGGGCAGGTGCTTCCTGCCTTTCAAACAGCACTTCTTTGGACAATGCAAGCATCGGATTCTCATTGCTCGCTTCACCCCGTTCCATTTATTCCCCCTTAGAATAGATACTTTCAGCGATCTTTTCCCCTGGCCCCCTCCTTACATATCTGTGATGCATTTTATATCAGGTTTGCAGTTCCAGGGGTCTGAGAAGTGGGATTCCACATGTGACACTAAGGATCCTGACATTTAAAAGCCCACATGCTGGGTTCTCCGACTTCAGTGTGCCTCCTGGTCCTCAACCTTTCGCTTTGCGCTTATGTAAGAAAATGACTTGTGTGGTCAACAATGCTATAATAACATTTGACGGGGGTCAGGATTTTTGAATGCCCCAAAGCAGATGCCTGTTTCCTACGGAGAGTCAGCAATAGACAACAGGGTTTGTCTGGGTTCATGCAGAGGTGGCAGGGGGTAGTTGGGAGCATGCAGGACCCCGGGATCAGAAGCTTTAATGCTTCTTTCATGACTGGTCTACTGAGTACAAACCAAACCTTTGTTACTAAAGCCTTGACTTGTGCAGAAGTAGCCCAGCTGAATCTCTGCATATGCCAGGAAAACAAACCGCTCAATGTTGGCTCTCTTAACAGAGATGTAATTTGGGGGGTCATTCTGTTTTAAGAAGAACTCTGCCATCCGTGGACCAGGCTTTGCCTTGTACCTATCATTTAGGACAGGGGTGGGCAAAATATAGCCTGCCCACGGGCCAGATCCAGCCTGCAGAGGGACTTTGTCTGGCCTGCAAAAAGGGCCTGGCAGTGGTGAGGGGGAGGGTCTGTGTTTCCTCGTGCCAAGAAGCAGCTTCTGCTGCAACTGCCCAGCATGGACGGGCGGTCCGGAGCAGGCGCGGGGCAGGCTGGGGTCAGGGCTGTGTGGGTTTCAGCTGGGGCGAGTCCAGAGTGGGCTGGGGCTGTGCACTTTTGCGGTGGTGGGGACGACCCGCTGGGCATGTGGGCCCTGGGCTGCTGGGGAAGGGGTACTGACCGGCTTATGACGGCTCCCCTAAACCGCCTGTGTGGCCTGCGGGCCCAGCTAATTGCCCACCCCTGATTTAGGAGCTTTTAGGCCCTTCTGGCATGAGGCAGTGGTGAGACTTCTACATCTAATGGTAGATGGAGTTTCCTCTGCAGAGGATGCAGAGATGGTATTTGACAATTGCTTGTTGGCCTTCAGGGATGTTTCATGTAGATTGCCCCAAATTTTTGTTCTCTCATTTTTCATGTGTATTGTGTTTGTGAGGGGACAGCAAGATGCTTTGGGTTGTCAGGCTGGTGGCAGCCAGCTTCGTGCCTTTGTTTTCTTAGATCAAGGCTCTGCTTTATTTTGGCTCTCCTAGTGCCCGAGCTTGGATGAGATTAAGGAGTGTTGTGGGGCAAGAAAAATAACTGGTAAAAATAGCTGAGGCAGCAGCAAAGGGTATGCTTGCTTTTCTGTTATCCAGGCTTACAGCCTGAGAGGCGTTCTGGAATTGAGTTGCACTGGATGCCTTGGACAGTCGCTTTATCCGTCAGTTCTAAAACAGATGATTTCGGTTTTTCCTGACAAATGTGGACGTTGCCTTTGTCCTCTCGTGCTGCTTACCCTTCATAGGACCTCCTCTGAAGTGGATTGGGATGCTGCGAGCAGTGTATAGACAGCGGCATCACTCAAGAAGCATGTTACAGCTGTGAGTCTGGCTGCCAGTATGTTTAATTATGCACTGGAAGGTTGGTGGCTCAGGTTTTGGTCTCTCCTTTCCTGTGCTGCCATGCTGAGGATCTAGCCTGTGAGATCACTGGTTATAAATCTTGGATGTTAATGGCAAGGGGCTTTTTGGAGCATTCCAAGGGAGAAGCAGTTTAGCTCCTAGTCTGCTTAGCTCCTTTGCTGAACAGATTGTCTTGGTTCTGCTATTGTGCATATGCTGTTCACAAGTCAGAATTTGAGCCATAGGCTGCAAGCTTTTTTTTGGTTTTCTTCTCCAATTAAATCACCTTTTTCCTTCTGGGACACCCACAAGCCATTGGAAACTGGAAAGAAATGTGCAAGTGTGCTGCAGGCGGGGGGCTCATACAAGAATATCATAATGCAGAGTTTATTACTAATAAGACTTTGGCTCTGTGATGTGTTCAAACAAGCGCTCGTAATGAAATGTTTCATTTTGA